AAAAAAAAAAGAAAAAGTTTTATGACCAACCACAAATGTATGTAAGTGATATAAATGGCCTGTGCAGTCCTTAGAATGCATTTTCTCTGCTTATTACTTTCCAATGTTTTTGCGTGTAAACTATTTGACCAGTCCTGAAGTAGAATCAAAGTATTTAGTAAATAATTCGGAGTGGGGGAAAAAGTAATCTTTACAAAAATCTTCACAGTAAAAATCTGAAAATAGGGAGCGGAGACTGTGACTCAGTGGCTTAGTCACCAGCCACATATACTGAGAGTGGCAGGTTCAAACCCAGCCCCGGTCAAACTGCAACAACAGCAAAAAAAACAGCTGGGCTTTGTGGTGGGTACCTGTAGTCCCAGCTACTTGGGAGGCTGAGGCAAGAGAATCGCCTAGGCCCAAGAGCTGGAGGTTCCTATGAGCTATGACGCCCCAGAACTCTACCAAAGGAGACAAAGTGAGACTGTCTTTAAAAAAAAAAAAGGAAAAAAATCTGAAAATAACAAAAATGTTACTTCTTAAGCATTGTATTAAGCATTGTAAAGTGCCATATAATTGCTAAAATACATGTAGCAAAAATGTGTGCCATATTGACAAATGAAAATGTTTTTGAAATATCAGTAAGGGTCAAATAAAAGTTTATTTTGTTAGAATTTTGGAGCGAAATTTTCCTAAATGATTGCTCAATTGTGAGCTTAGGGAACTGTAGTTTCTTGTAGTAAATGTATAATAAAAGAAATTCCTTAAGGAAGTACTGATGCATCATATTCATTCAGTCGGCCAGTCGCAGCTCTCAGCTGGACTGGTCTCCTGCCATTGTTGCTCCAGGTGAAATCATCTTCCTGAAAGCAGCCACAGTGACCAATCTAAAATGCAGCTGATGTTGCTGGCCTGCTTCAAACTCTTCACATGATTATTCCATTTGGTTATTTGACTCCCCTTTGTTGCTTACCAAATAAAGTCCAAATTCCCTTTGCGTGGCATACGAAGCCCATTCCAGCTTAGCCCGCCCTTCTTACCACTTAGTCTTTTTTTATCTTTTATGTTCTAGTAATTGTCAACTGTTTCATGCCTGAGACGTGCCATACTGCTTCAGGACTCCATGATTTCGCTCATGCTTTTCCCTCCTCCTGGCACATGCTCCCCACCTTTCTTTAGCCATCTTGCACATATTCATCCTTCAAGACAGCTCAGATAGCCTCCAGGTTGAGTTAGAAGCCCACTCTTTGGTTTCTATAGCATCCTATGAATACTTCTATCTCAGCAGCTATCAAATTATGTGGAAGTTGTCTGTTTTTAAGTCTGTCTTCCCCCTTTAACCGTAAGTATCTTTAGGCCAGAGGCTGTGTTTAATCATCCTGTATACCAGCATCTAGTTCAAGGAATGGAATACAGCATGCACTTAATAAATTTAAGGGGTATTTTATAAATAATCTTCTAGACACTGCAGTAGACATTGATGACCTCTGAAGATTCGATTTCTGCCATATGGGACCTCACAGCTCATCAGACAAAAGAGGACATGAAAAATGACAGACATGAGAGCACTATCAACGGTCAAATGAGGCTATGCCAAGTGGCTCACCCCTGTAATTTTAGCACTTTGAAGACCTAGGGGGTTGGATCACTTGAGGCCAGGAGTTCAAGACCAGACTGAACAAAAGCAAGACCCCATCTCTACAAAGAAAAGTAAAATTAGCCAGACGTGGTGGCAAGCGCCTGTAGTCTCAGCTACTTGGAAGGCTACAGCAAGAGGATCACTTGAGCCTCTGAGTTTGAGGTTGCAGTGAGCTATGCCACAGCACTCTAGCTTGGACAACAGAACAAGGCTCTGTCTCAAAAACAAAAAAAGGCAAATGAGTGAGAATCTACTCTCATTTTAGCCAGATTTACCCAGAGATTACTTCCCACCAACCAACCATGGACTATGGAATCTTGCTCTGTTAAAAACACTTCTGAGAAGTAAAACATTTAAAGACAAATTGGCAAGGCCAGGCCCAGCGGCTCATGCCTGGAATCCTAGTACTCTGGGAGGCTGAGGTGGGTGGATTGCTTGAGCTCAGGAGTTTGAGACCAGCCTGGGCGAGAGCAAGACCCCTATCTCTACTAAAAATACTAAAACTAACCAGGTGTGGTGGTGCAGGTGCCTGTAGTCACAGCTACTTGGGAGGTTGAAGCAAGAGGATTGCTTGAGCCCTGGAGTTTGATGCTGCTATGAACAATGATGATGCCAATGCATTCTACTCAGGGCAACAGAGTGAGACTCTGTGTGAAAAACAAATACATACGTACGTACATACATACATACAAGTAGGTGTAGGAAAAGAGAAAAGATAATAGTGATCTACAAACTAACCCATTTCTCCTTGGAGTTTTCATGAGAACTCTTCAATGTGATAGAAAACTTTTTTCAAGCTTTTGTTCTCTAGAATCTCAAATGTGATCAGGATTTGTTCTGTAAATAATGGAAGTGATGGCATTTCTAGTCCCAACCCTATTGTATAACAACTACACATCAACAACCACCAATAACTGTATTTTGTGCTGTCAGCCAAGTATAGTGCTAAGATAGGAGATAAGGTTATCTCATTCAGCCTTCATAACAAGCCTATGAAGTAAGTACTATTATTAACTCCATTTTACAGGGGAGGAAATTGAAACTTGAAGAGGTCAAGCAACTTGCCCAGAATCACATCTCTAGTAGGACTTAGAAGCAGGATTTGAACCCAGGCAGTCTGAGTGCAGGGTTCGCAATGTTGATGTGTTCACCATACTACCTGGTAAAATGCAATAAATTAACACTCGTCACACTTGGTCCACTATGAATTATCCTTTCTTTGTTTTACAAGATGGGAAATTTTTTTAGGGACTGCTCAAATCCCTGTATATCAAATCATAGAAGAATTTAACAAAGAGCAACAACACATAGAAAATGCATATGAACATATACAAATTATTCTTGACCTTAATTAAATGGCAATTTATAAGACTGAATCAAGTTGTCAGTATCTTGTTGTTTTGTTGGGGGTTTTTTAAATTAAAGATATGTTGAGGTCTATAGAAGTATTAGTTACTGTCATAAGTTTTCTAATAGCAGAGTGTTTTAAACTATTTAAGGATTTGGGGAAACTATCCACGTAACTGTTGCTCCTTAAAGTCTTTTGTGAAAATATTTTAATGTAAATTTTTATATTTTGCCGTTTTAATTCACCTATAATTTTTCCAGCAAAATGAAACCTCATGTGGAAATAAACACTCAAAAGTGCTTTTTTAAAAAAACTTTACTTTTTCCCTTTTAGACTCCAGAAACAATTTCCTTATAAAGCTGACTTCCCTTCTGGAAATGATTTTTGTTTCCAACCATGTTGAGAATCCGTTTTTTCATTCGTTCTCTCTCTCTCTCCACCCCTTTCTCCTTTTGCTTTCTTGGTGGTAGCTGGGAGGAATCAGAGTGGGCATGGGACGGAGAGAAGAGAGAAAAACAGAAGAAGAATTGTACACCACCGTGTCTGAATCTGGCTTCTGCTTGCAGATCATTACATCCAAGTTGCACTTTTCCCTTTTTATTTCCGTTTTTGGACAGTTCTTTTATCATCCAGCCCACTGGGTAGACAAAGCACTGTTGGTGCCCTGAGCGACAGAACTCTGGTAGGGGGCTGGCTGTAAATTGACGTGGCATGGAAATTCTCCGCTAAGTTGTAGCAGCTTGCATGTTTCTCTAAGATCAAGCCCAGCCTCCCGGGGCTGTAGCTTAATCATGGGTTCAATGACTTTACAGAAAAATGGATAGAAAAAGTCTTCAGCTCCTTTCTCTGGATCCAAATGTTTTCTTTTTGAGTATCTATGATTTAGCTGAACACAAAATCAAAGCAGTTAAGTCTGTAACTTTCTTTTCGCAGCTTAAACAACAGAATTTGCTGCTCTCCCTCCCCTTTCCTGCAATTTAATTCCTTGCAGATTTTGCCATGGGGTGCGGACTTAGAAAGCTAGAAGACCCTGATGATAGCAGCCCTGGAAAAATATTTTCTACCCTGAAGAGACCGCAAGTGGAAACAAAGACAGAATTTGCTTACGAATATGTATTGCTGGATTTTACTCTACAAGGTACTTTTTGCTTCTGTTTTATTTGTTAAATGTTTTGACTATAAAGTGTTGGCTTATGAATTTAGAATCTGTTCTTCATAATTAGATTATATAATCATTGTAACAATGATGCTTTGTTTCTTAATTACATTTTGAAAGATTTTTGTTTTGTTTGTTTCTTTGTTGGTAAAATGGCTCATCTGTACTTTTCTAAAATTAGGGAAACTGGTGGGAAAGACTCCTTTCATTTTTACATCAAATATTTGTTTGTAGAAGGATTTATGAAAAAAAAGTTTGATTTCCAGGATAAATTGCTATAGCTTTAGTGACAAATTGTGATTTGAAAAAGATGTGAGACGCTCAAAAAGGTGGTAGGTAGGAAATATTACTTGCATCGTGCTGTGGAAGATTGTTTGCTAGGACAATTCTGGGGTTTCCATCTATGTTACATTTTGTGATTGTGTAGTCACTGGCTATTTTTGACCAAACTAAACTAAAAGTTTGAAAATTAAAAAGAAAAAAAGGTAGCCTTCTGAAAGACACTTAGCTCAGTGCCCTGTCCCTAACAGAGAAACCCTCTGTTCCAGAAAGTTGGAAACACAAATAAACAACCCCAGATGGCAGTTCTGTGGAAGGAATGGAGGCGGCTTGACTTCACAAACACTTTGCCTCATTTCTTTTAGAAACTTTAGAGCGCTGTACAACTGCATGGACAAAACAGCTTCTAAAAAGAACTACACTTTAATTATGGGGTACTAAAAATGAAATTTAGAGTGCCCTGTTTGCTGTTAAAGGTGCCCAGAGATTAGTGTTTTAAGTTCTCATACTATAAAGTTGTATTTTTCAATTCTAACAAGCCACACATTTTATCCGTTTACAGAACATTTTATACTAACTCAATTATCATGTTTGATTTATCTTAATTTTGCTTGAACTTTTTGTTGTTTATACAAATTCTCTTTTTTTCTTCTTTTGGTTTTACTCTGGAAACAGTACATCTTTGTGCAAGAAGCAAGAGCAGCCCATTTTTCTTTGTCAAAAATTAAGCTGGCCAGCAAACAAACTCCCTTCCAGGGAAATGCACAAAAAAGTACATATACTTTTAACATGTTTGCATTCCTATTTTTAATCTAAGGCTAAGACTAGCAAAAAAATTAGTTTTCTTAATCTTATTTTTAATTATGAAAGTTAACAATGGGTTAAGATAATGGTGATAATCAGAGAAGTTACCCATCAGGTGAATTTTTTCTATACTATTTCAGAAATCATTTGAGAAAATATTTGTGGTATGGTGCTATATTTGCTCCCTTGATTTTCCACGTCAATTATTTTTGAGGACTAGTTTCTTTAAATCCATAGGACACACACACAAACAAATCCTTAATCTTTTGTTTGTTTTCTTTTTTTCATCTTTTTCTTTTGACCTTTTTTCTTGGTCTTTTTGTTGTTGTTGTTTCCTTTTTAATTTTTTTCTTTTTACTCCCCTTAATCTTGAAACCTAGTCATAAAATTTAGATCAGAGCCATGTTGATCTGTACTTTAAGATTGGCTGCACAACCCACTGTAGGATCACAGGGCTTAAAGTCACTTGACAAGTTTTTCTGATTCATTTCCTCCCAACAGTGTTAATGTCTCAAACAAATGTGTATAAATGCCATCATCCTCGAATCGGAAAGATCTACAGCTTTATTCAAAAGTCATTTAGGTTTTGGTATTATCAAAAGTCCTTCTTTCTGTGAAAACAGTACAGTTTCTACCTTCCACTCCAGGTGCTTAGAAGAGCGTAAGTATGGGCATAGCTGCAAATGTCAGCACGCAAAGCAGATACATCTTTTAAGGTGGCACCTGGTTCCACTGGTACAGGTATCGTGGTGCCCATTGCTCTCCACTTCTTCCCCATGTTTTTGTTTTATTTTTTTCTTGGTTTGTTTTTGTCTTTGCCTTTGCCATTGCTTCAGAAGGCAGGACTCTCAGCATCAGCCCAACTCCACAAACCACCTTCCAGGTCCTAGTTTCCCTTCTGTTGTTTCTCACTCTACCTGCCACTCCAGCACACATAGGGGTAGGTTAAAATACCCCAGCCTTCTGCTTGGCACTGGAAGTTCTGTACTGGGATTGCTGGAAAGAATATCAGAGTCCCATCGCCTGCCTTGCAGAGGTCTCCATGGAATGAGCAACCTATGTGGAAAAAAAACCGCCTAGTGACAGCTGTGTGTGCTCATGGCTCATCATGAGCCTGTGTCTTAATTATCTTCCTTAGTTTTTTCCAAATACAGACCATGAGACAAAAAGTAAAGTTCCAATGGGGCAGGAGCTGGAGTTCCTTTGACAATTCCCAGTGTCTGCCCTGTGTCATGATGATTATAACTATTTTGAACAATTTATTTATTTTCCATTCAATTCCATCTCCACCCATCTCCCTTCCCCCTACCCGAGCTGTACAGTTTTACAAGTACATTTCAAATAATGTTACACAGAGTTTCCACAGTGGGGTATACTTACTTTAGGAGAATGAAATGTTATTTTTATCTCAATGTAGATAAAAGACTTCAAAGTTATCCCACTTTATTACCTCTATTAAGAATGAATTCCTTTGTCACCTACTACTCTGCCTTTACTTTCAAAGCTCCGTCCTGAACACAACACAACTTAGGCCTCTCAGCCTCTCCCTCTCCCTCCACCATGTTCCCCACACTTTTTTCTTTTTAGCCTTTGAGTCATTATTTATATATACACTGGAGAAATGATAGTGTAGTCTTTAAGCGTATGAGTCCCTGGATCATAGTTCCTAGGTCCTGAACTTGGGCTCTTTCCACTAATTGTGGCAAATTTGTAAATGTTGTATTTCAGTTTCCTCGTCTGTAAAATGGGGATTCTTTTTTTTTTATTATTAAGTCATATATACATAGATCATAGATACATTTATGCCTCTGTGGGATTCAATCTGTTGATTATTTGTACAAATAAGAGTGCTTACATCCTACTAATTAACATAGCTTTCACCTCATTTACTTAATCACAGTGTTAAGACATTTGTGTTCAATACTTGATAGATTTGACTCGTACCCTTGCAATATGCTCCATAAGTGTAGTCCCACGATTGATCCTCCGTCTATTGAACCACCATCCTCCCTTCCTATCCATTTCCCCTTCCCTCCTTCATTCTGGGCTATAGTTGTGATTCATCTCTCATATGAAAGTGTGAATGATTATAAATTGGTTCTATAGTAGTACTGAGTACATTGGATATTTTTTTTCCATTCCTGAGATACTTTAGTAAGAAGAATATTTTCCAGCTCCAAAAACTAGCAGGGTATTATGGCACACACTGTTCCATGTAAACATAAAAGAGGTAGTCTCCATCTTTTTTTAATGCTGCATAGTATTCCATGGTATACACATAGCATAATTTATTAACCCATTCATGGGTCGATGGCCACTTGGGCTTCTTCCAAGACTTGGCAGTTATGAATTAAACTGCAATGAACAATCTGGTGCAAACGGGGATTCTAATAGTGCTTATGTTATAGGGTTGTTTTAAGGATCAAAGGAAATAATACAAGCTGACCTATTCTAGGCCGAGTGCAGTGGCTCACCCCTGTAATCCAAACAATTTGGGAGGCCAAGGCAGGAGCTTGACCCTAACCTGGGCAACACAGTGAGATCCTGCCTCTACAAAAAGTAAAACAAACAAACAAAAAGAATGAAAAAGAAAAACTTGGGGCTTAGCACCCCATAGCACAGTGGTTACGGTGCCAGCCACATGCACCAAGGGTGGCGGGTTCAAACCTGGCCAGGGTGTTGTGGCGGGTGCCTGTAGCCCCTCCCTCTTGGGAGGCTGAGGCAAGAGAATTGTTTAAGCCCAAGAGTTTGCTGCACTCTACTGAGGGTGACATAGTAACACTCTGTCGCAAAAGAAAAAAAAAAAAAAACTTGGTTGGGTGTGGTGGCACACCTTTAGTTCCAACTACTTGGGAGGCTGAGGCAGAAGGAGCATCTGAGCTCAAGAGTTCGAGGTGTGATCGTGCCACTGGACTGCAGCCTAAGTGACATAGCAAGACCTTGTCTCTTAGTAAAATAAAAACTAAAAAAAAGAGGGGGATACTTAGTAAGAATCCAATACACCTGATAAAATTAACTGTAATTATCCCTCTTGTGCAAACACCTCCGATTCCACAACGGGAGTCAGAATGGGTATCTTTCCTCCTGTAAATCCAGCTTTTGCAGGAAACTTTTGACCAAGCTGTTGAGGTCATTAAAATAATTCCTGCATTTCCCGTCTGGTAAATGATACTTAACTACTGGTTACTTATATGCTCATTTCAAGGGTTCAACCACAACCTGACAAATGCTTCTGGAGTAGTTCCTGTATACACTGCTGTGCGAGGTACCTTAGGGATTATAAGAAATAAAAAGTATAACTCTTTTGAGAAACTTAAAGTCTCATCTATGTTGATGAGAATTTTTCTGGAGCCTTGTTATAAGTCTCTCAACTGCACTAGTGAGGTTTCAGTACAATTTTTATCATGTTTCCTGGGTTATTATAAAGTAATGACTTCTTTCACCGAATTATGATAAACGAACACCTCATTAACAGCTTTTGTGTAACACCACAAGAGTCTAGATTGCAATTAGCAGATTGGCACCTGCTTATCAGGGAAGACTTGAAGTTGTCTAGAGATTTCTTATAGACTTTCTCTCTCTATGTGTGTGTGTGTGTGTGTTTATGAGCATGTATGACATATGCATGTGTTATGATAAAATTTTCTAATGAAAAGTTAAATTAACTCTGCAAATGATCCAAAAGAGTTAGTTTGCTTCCTGGTATAATCCCAGGAAACAATCTAAATAATAATAGCCTTAGGGATTTTAGAGCATCTATAGTTTTATAATTCTAAAATCCCAATGGAAGGATAGAGAGTAACTTTCTTATTTGAATTTCTAATAGAATCACATATTGTAAAATTTTGCTAACCTCTAGATTTCTTCGTTATTGTTAAGAGAAAAAACTGTCTTTCATC